ATCTAGTGAGATATTAAATAAAAACCCTCAAATAAGATATATTAAGTCACGTATGCCTTCCATCACCATGGTTTTAATCAAACCACTGTTTGTCGGAACCTTGTTTGCCACAGCGAAGGGTACACTTCTACCAATGGGAGGTTAAAATTCATTTGAGTTTTCCTTAATGATGATGGGTCAACTTAAAATGATAGTTTTGCTTGTTTGCCACAGCGAAGGTTGATAAACACGTCATAGCCATAGTAGAGAAGTACACATGTTGAGTGTACGTGGCAACATGTAGTGTCCACTCTACTGATACTGGGAATCACACTTTAGGACGATGGCTAGGCCATTGGATTGTGTGGTTGGCTTGTTGGCTTACTTCACATTTAAGGTTGGTAATGAGAGTTATCAACTGGTGTGGATTAAGTTTGTTGGTCTACCTAATCAACCCATTTTGGCTTGTTCGCTACAGCGAAGCTTTGAAATGGACCAGATGGGATCTCAGTCCACTAGGAAAGCCAACAGGGTTTCCTGAGTTAATAGTGAGGGCTATTGGCTTGAGGAAAATAGTGGGAGTGTTTTTTAATAAAAGACCATATTAAGAAATAATAAACATTATATTGACTTTACTTTTCTGAATTGTAGATTCACTTAAAAATGAGCATTATGAGCCTAGGACCGATAATCGAGAAAGAAAACAGGTTGGATGGATCCAATTTCTCAGATTGGTGTCGTAATCTTCGGATTATACTTAAGTCCGAAAAGAAATTGTATATCCTTGATAAGCCATATATGGTTGAGCTTGATCTTGATGCCACTCAGGAAGTAAATGATACTTATCAAAAGTTCTTTGATGATGCTAATGGCGTTTAAGGCTTGATGTTAGCATCAATGACACCATTGCTGCAAAAGCAGCATGAGAATATGGACGCTACTGCCATTATTCTACACCTCAAGGAGCTTTAAGAAGGGAATGCTCGACATGAGAGGTACAAAGTGTCAAAAGCATTGTTTGGAAGTCGCTTGACCAAGGGAGCCCAAGTTGGCCCTCATGTGCTCAAAATGATCAAGCATATAGAGAGGCTAGAGACTTTGGGGTTTGAGTTGGATGCAAAATTACAAGTGGATTTAATTCTACAATCCTTGCCTAACTCTTATGCACCGTTCATAATGAACTTCAATATGAACGCTATGGTGAAAACCCTGGTGGAGCTTTTGAACATGCTAAGGACTGCAGAGCAAGACTTGAAGAAGTCCAAGCCTGTTTTACTAGTAGCTGCTAGTAAAGGAAAGGGTAAGGGCAAGGGAAAGGCCAAGGCCAATTCCAAGCCCAAGCCTAAAGGACAGGATGCTCTCAAGTCTACGGGTGGCATTGGGAAAGGTGGGAAGGTAGTCTGCTTCTATTGTGGCAAGTATGGCCACTGGAGGAAGCACTGCAAGGCTTTCCTCGCAAACAAGAAGAAGTCAGATGCTTTGACTTCAGGTATGTTTATGATTGAGATTAACTTCTCTCCTTCAACATCTTGGGTCATTGACACAGGATGTGGTACTCACATTTAAACTGATGTGCAGGGACTAAGGCATAGTAGATTGCTTGCCAAGGGAAAAGTGGTCCTACGAGTTGGAAATGGAGCACATGTGGCTGCATTAGCTGTAGGGACTTATTGTTTGTCTTTGCCTTCGGGCTTATTATTAGAACTCAAAGACTGTTATTTTGTACTTGCGATTCTAGAAACATTATTTTAGTATCTGCTTTGGATAATATAGGATATTGTTTTGAGATTTCTAATGGATTGTTGTCCTTTAGTTTTAATGGTATTCTATTTGGAATTACAAGGTTATATAATGGATTAAATGTTCTTGATTTGAACAATAAGGATATTCTCAACGTTGAAACTAAGAAAGCTAAACAAGCGAACAAAACCATACATACCTCTGGCATTGTAGATTGGGTCATGTTAATTAGACCCGCATTACAAAACTGCAAAGGGATGGAGTTTTGGACCCCTTTGACTTCCAATCATTTGAGGTTTGCGAGTCATGCCTTTTAGGTAAGATGACCAAGTCCACCTTTCACAGGACAAAGTGAAAAGGCTATTGAACTATTAGGCATCATCCATAGTGATGTATGTGGTCCACTAACAGTTGAAGCCAGAGGTGGATATTCCTACTTCATCACATTTACTGATGATTTTAGTAGATATGGTTATGTCTACCTCATGAGACATAAATCTGAAGTCTTTGATAAGTTCAAAGAATTTAGGAATGAAGTACAAAATATGTTGGGCAAAAGTATTAAAGCTCCTCAGTCGAATTGAGGAGGTGAATACTTAAGCGTAGGGTTTTCTGAATACCTGAAGAAATGTGGGATAGTATCACTACTCATCCCTCCGTATACACCCCAACACAATAGAGTGTCTGAAAGAAGGAATAGGACCTTACTTGACATGGTTAGGTCCATGATGAGTTATAGTGATTTACCTGCATCATTCTAGGGTTATGCCTTAGAGACTACGACTCACATTATGAGCCATGTGCCATCAAAGTCTGTAGACAAGACTCCATTTGAACTATGGAATGGGCGAAAGCCCAATTTGTCTTATCTAAGGATTTTAGGTTACGAAGCTTATGTCAAGAAATTGACTTCGAACAAGCTGGCCCAAAATCCTACAAATGTATATTTGTGAGGTATCCTAAGGAAACCAAATGATACTATTTCTACCATCCAGAAGAACACAAATTTTTTTTACTCGTACTAGTGTCTTCCTAGAAAAGGAAATTTTTCTAAGAAGTACTAGTGGGAGAAAAGTAGAACTCGATGAAGTTCTAGAGCTACAAGATATACTAGATGAAGGACGGAAAGATATGCTACAAGCAGTGGTTGAACATCAGGAGAAGGTTACTTGATAATCATATTTTATACTATGATTTTGCATTGAATTTTGATAGGATTTAGGATACTTTTCATGTAATTTGGGCCATAATTGCTACCTAATTCTATTAATTTGTCTTGGCAAGCCTAAACAATGATTTTTAGCATAAATGACAGTTTTGAGCGTAAATTGTCTAACTTGAGCTTAGAAACTCAGAATGACCTGAATTTAGAAGCTTTGGAAAGCTAAGGAGAAGCGCTATAACTTTCATATTTTGGGTTTCTCCTAATTTTGACTGGACAAGGGCGAAAACTTGGCTTGAAGTCGTGAACAATACGCTGGGAACTGAAGAAAAACATCTTTGGACGTGCTTCAGTATTTTTACCATACATTGAGCTGTAGACCTTGGATTGTGCTTATTCTTAAATGAGTAGAAATATGATTTAAATGGCTACAATTCATATGTTTAACACTTCTTCAGATTTAGACTCTATCATGCTAAAATTTGGCCCGAAAGTCTTCGCAGCGGCAAAACCTGCAACAGATGTAAAAATAAAACAACGCGTTTTGGCTTGCTAGGGCTTGGTCCTTAAGTGAAAGAGGTATAAATTAGAGTGAAAAGGAAATAAAAAGAGTCTTGGTTCGTCATTTGGGAGGCAGTTCATGGAGGGAGAAGATTATTAAAGATTTTGGCTTCAAATGAGAGAAGATTTCTCCATCTTTTGCTTATTTTTCAATGATGAATCTTGATTCAGTTTGTTTTTGTTATTTTAATTCATTTTTGAGTATGAACTGAGTTGTTTAGCTAGGGTTTGATGTAANGGTAAGATGCTAAGGGTACCGATAACTTCTGATTATGGATTCTATCCAAGGATCGGGTTCTATCTATGATTTGTGCGACGAATGCGATGACTCTTGGTTAAGGCAAGGCCTTAAAACATCGATCAAGCATTCTATCGAGCCCTTACTCATCAATCAATGAAAAGAGATACCGACCCTCTTGTGGATTGTGCGTGAGGAGCCTCCCTATCAAAACAATTAGTCTCTTCCAATGAGCAGAAAAACAACGATAGGCAATTACCCCATGCTACTCTCAGCCAGATGGAAGGTCATACGATAGGATGCGGCAGATCGAAAGAAATCCAGTGAGTAGAAGCGGTATTGCAGATAGGCGAATGAAAGACTGGCGGAGGACGGGTATTCCATCATACAAGAGGAATCACAGAGAATGCCCTGCACACTCCAAAAGAAGAACCTAACAGATCTGAGACCCTCCTTGTACGGAAGAGCAAATCCAAAGAAGTTGTTCTGGACGAGAGAGTAGGAATAGGTACCTGCTTCAACCATAGAAAGTCAACAGAGGGGTGATCCTGCTTAGGTTTGAAAACCTAACTTGGAATGACGAGGTTAAGAAGAGGAAGATAGAAGGGAAGGGGTAGCTGATTAACCAACTGTAATACAAAAGGTACGATGATCCTCCTAGGCTTGCAGACCTACTCGGAACTGTGGAAAGAAAGCAAAGATATTTAAAAACGGGGCTTGCGCCCCTGCTTTAGCTGCACTTGCAGAGGTAGCTACAGTCGCGAGCAGGTCCTTGCTCGCTCCCTCCAAGTGTTGGTTAGCTACGATAGAACACGGATAATAAACAGATAATTGCAGTGAAGGAAGAATGACAGAGAAATACGTATATGATAAGAAAGCTGCTTACAGGAGTTAGCCAGCTCACTTCCCTCGTTCGAATGGGGAGATAGATAAAAGAAACGAAACTCTATCAAATATCATTAAGAGAAGAAGATTCTCATTCCAGCTCAGCAAGGTAGTTGTAGGAATCTCTTTTGGAAGTGGAATTCCTACTCTCATCTCTTTTTACTAAATATAAGGAACAACACCCTTATGATGACATTCCGTCTCTAACGGGTATAAATATACCTAAAGTTTGAAATCTTTTTTTTTATTATTGTTGATACTCCTGCAGAGAATCTCTTAGGAGCGAACGCGATCTATTTAGACCTGATCTATCAGGGCACGAATAGTCGCTACTTTGCCCAAGCTCTGGAGTTAGTGCTTTCGTTCAGTTCATAAGGTTGACTTTTTTTTTCTAAAGCGGTATTCCTCCTTGCCTCTGAATTCAAAAATGGAATTATGGAATTATCTCCCAGAGCTGCGGAACTAACGAATCTATTCGAAAGTCGAATTAGGAACTTTTACGCGAATTTTCAAGTGGATGAGATCGGTCGAGTGGTCTCAGTTGGAGATGGGATTGCACAAGTTTATGGATTGAACGAGATTCAAGCTGGGGAAATGGTTGAATTTGCCAGCGGTGTGAAAGGAATAGCCTTGAATCTTGAGAATGAGAATGTCGGGATTGTTGTCTTTGGTGGTGATACCGCTATAAAAGAAGGAGATCTTGTCAAGCGCACTGGATCTATTGTGGATGTTCCCGCGGGAAAGGCTATGCTAGGGCGTGTGGTCGACGCGTTGGGAGTACCTATTGATGGAAGAGGGGCTCTAAGCGATCACGAGCAAAGACGTGTCGAAGTGAAAGCCCCAGGGATTATTGAACGTAAATCTGTGCACGAGCCTATGCAAACAGGGTTAAAAGCGGTAGATAGCCTGGTTCCTATAGGCCGTGGTCAACGAGAACTTCTAATCGGGGACCGACAAACTGGAAAAACGACTATTGCTATCGATACCATATTAAACCAAAAGCAAATAAACTCAAGGGCCACCTCTGAGAGTGAGACATTGTATTGTGTCTATGTAGCGATTGGACAGAAACGCTCNATTTTTGGTGTTCTCTTTTCTTTCTTCTTGGTGTTTATCTCCCTTTGTGGTTTTTGATAAACCCCTAGAGCGGATGGCTGTTTGTAGGCTTGTTTCTTTTGTTTCCTATTTTCGGGGCATGTCCCAAAATAGGCTGGTCGCCTTTTATTAGGCCTTTGTACATTGTTCTTGTTTCTTTAATATGATTACTTACTTAACAAAAAAAAAAAAATTTGCGATAAAAATGACTTTAGAGGGGCAATAATGTTTTATTTATTTTAAGTTTTACTCTTCAATTGACTTCTAATTGTTAAAGCCAATATAAAAAAGAAAAATATTCGATTAATAAAACAGTTATCTTCTTAACCAAACAAAATTTTATTTGTTTAATAAACAATAGAAAAAAAAATGGTTTTATTTGTTTAAAGTAAATTATATTAAGATTGAAAAAATTAAAACAAACATAAGAATAAATAATAAAAATAAATTTTTGAGTGGGGTCATCAGGCCCCACTCATCTACACATGGATCCGTCCATGAAAATTAGGATTACAATCATTCAAAATTGATATCCAATTCTATATACATATTCTTTCGCAAATTTACAAGATGAGAAAACATTCTTATAGGATTATTTGTTAAGCTCAAGAATTGGATGTCCAAAACTCTCAAAGAATTATTCTTTTTTATTTGGGTTTATTTTTTGTTTACGAAAATTGGAGAAAAATTGGGCCTATTTTGTAAGTGAATCTCAACGTTTTATGTGAAGATTGCTTATGTGTATATGGAATTATTCAAATTTAATAAATGATAAATGAAGTGCTATGCAGAATTGCAGATGGTCACATTAATTTAATAAATGATGTATGGAAAAAAAAGATCAACCATTGTTTTTAACGTCTGTTACATAAATAAACATGTGTTTATCCTTATCATATTATTATTATTAGTAAATGGTTATTTACGATGTTATAAAATTATATTATAATATTTTAAGATATTATCAATAACTAGAATTATTCAAATTTTGTTTGACAATTTTAAACTATAGAATTATTGCGATCATATACTTACAATTAAAACTAAAATAAAAAAAAAAAAAGTCAGAGAATTGTAACACGTTTAAATTTACAAATTTACGTTGTAACATGGTTTTTACTAAAATTTGTACCCCCTACATCCATTTTCTAGCAAACCCATCATTATGCATAAGTTCTACCTTTGCTCTATTCACCTATTTCAATTCAACGTATAACATTTTTTTACAAATGGTATATGTTTAGTTAAATCTTACCATTGTACATGGGCTACATTCTCATTTTTTTACAACGTATATGGGAAAGGGCCTTTTGTACATGGGCTCCTATAAGTTTGGCCTAGTCCAATGGGTAAAGATGTTGCTTTGCTTTGATAATAGGAACTTTGTGGACGGGTACAGCCCATGCTTTTACTGCAATAGTTGGTTCAGGTATTTTGGCATTGCCATCGAGCGTGGCTCGACTTGGTTGGATTTTGGGACCCCTTGTTCTCGTTACGTTTGCAATTGTTACTTATTACACATCCATCAATTTCTCTGATTGCTATCGAACTCCTGACCCTGTTACTGGAAGAAAAAACCATACTTGCGGAGATGCTGTGGGAACACTCTTAGGTATAATTTTTTTTTTTTTTGATAAGTAAGCAATCATAATAATTCTTTTTTATTTCAATCCCTATTGAAACATTAACTACAAGTTAATTACATGACAAAAGAATGAAGTTTAATTTTCTCAACCCTTTGTTGCAGATCCGATTGAAGTACTGCTTAGTACCATATTACAATATACAATATTATGGGGAATGATAATTGGCTACACGATTACAACTACCATTAGTGTCGCGTAAGTTCATTCAACACGGAGCCAGCAATTTGTTTTAGTGGGGGCAAATTACAGATACAAAATTGAAGGGAATTAATTGAATTTCCTAAGGGCAGTTGGGGGCATGAGCCCCCTTTCAGTCCTTAGTGGTCCGTTCCTTGTCACATGTCTGTCACTTTTTCAATGTAACAGGACTTTGAAGAGATCAACTTGTTTCCATGAGAAGGCACAAAATGCAACATGTGGAGTATCAGGAAATCTATACATGCTAACCTTTGGAGCAATTGAAATTATTCTATCTCAATGTCCAGACCTAGAGAAACTAACATTCATTTCAGTAGCTGTTACATCACTTCTATATTCTACTGTTGCACTTTTCCCATCAATCGCAAAATTTTCCTTAATCTTGAGTTCAAAGGAACTCTCAAGGTAGCTAATTCTGGAACAGTGTTACCGTCATCGACCAAGATTTGGCATGCCTTTCAAGCCCTCGGAAACATTCCTTTTGCCTTTGGCTACTCCAATATACTACTTGAAATCCAGGTTAATTTTTCAAATATATCCCAAATTATTTTCTTTTATGATTTTTAACAATAGTTATTACTTACATTTTAATACCTTAAACTTGATTAAGGATGATTCGGTTAATTGGGAGTTTCTCTTACAAGTCCTAAAGAATTTTGGTTTCCCTAGTGTTCTTATCAATTGGATATCCAAATGCATCACTACTCCTAGGTTCTCGGTGGTTATCAATGGGGAGTTGGTGGGTTTCTTTGTTAGCTCTTGAGGGCTGAGACAAGGGGATCCCTTATCCCCTTACTTATTTTTTATTGCTATGGAGGTTCTCTCTCGGCTCCTGAATAGAGTGGCGGCTAATCCGAGCTTTAGTTTCCTTGGAGATGCAAGAAATTGGGGGACTCATCTTTGTTTCGTGGACAATTCTCATGCTTTTTTGTAAAGCCAAAGGTATTCTCTGTCTCTCTAAGATGTTTAATTACTTGAAAGTTGGGCAGGATTGAGGGCAATCCGATAAGAGCAATATCTTCCTTTTGGTGTGAGTGACAATGAAAAGATGGAGCTCTTAAGTTTGATAGGATTTGCGAGGGTAGTTTCCCATCAAATACTTAGGTGTACCCTTACTACCTCTAAGCGTACTTGGAGATTGTCGACCTCTCTTGGATAAAATATTGGCTCGGGTTGCCTCTTGGAGAAGTATTTCTATCCTATGGGGGAGGATTATTTTGATTAAATCCATTCTTTGGAGTGTGTAAATTATTGGTTGTCCTCTTTACTCCTTCTCAAAATTCATAAGGAAATTGATGCTAGTTTGAGAGCTTTTCTTTGGTCGGAGTTGATATAGAAAAACCCAGAGCGGATGGCTGTTGTAGGCTTGTTTTTTGTTTCCCATTTCGGGCATGTCCCAAAATAGGCTGGTGCCTTTTGTTTGGCCTTTGTACATCTTCGTTTTTTTTCTAATATGATACTTACTTACAAAAAAAAAAAAAGAACTAGACATAAGGGGGGTAAATTGACGCCTCCATTTACATCCTAAATACAAATGATAATAATGAGTATATTAGGCAGCAAATAAGTATAAAAGAACTAGATATTAAGGGGGGTAAATATGACATTGTGCATTCCCATCAAATTCCCCACACTTGCTTTTGCACGTCCTCTGGGAAACTAATTCAAACAAAACCCTACATTCAAGTCATATCAAGAACACCATCGTCTCAAGTCATATCAAGAACATCAGCATGATGCATAAGCAACATATTTAATCCATGCATATTCATCCTAACTTAGGAAGCAACAAAAAAAATAACAGAGTTAATGACATTCATCTCTCTTTATCACCTCCACAATTACTCTTATCAGTCATGCAAAACAAGGGAACTAATCACAACCAATCCTGAACAACTCCTCCTCAACTTTTCCTCAACTGTTTCTCTTTACTACTACAAACTGGGTAGCAATAAGGATACAATTTTTTTTCTTTTTTTTTTTTTTTTTAGTTTTGAAAAAGAATGAGTGCATTTATGCTCATCTCATTTCATGGTTGTGTTTATGATGTGAGTGTGTTTTACGCTCCATCTCGACTCACCACATACCTTTCTTTTCTTTTTCCTATTGCTTAAACCCACTTTAGGACTAGCTAAGAGAAACAAATTTTTTTTTCTTTTTAAGGGTCGTATACAATCCTACATCATGCTTCGTCACAAAGTTACACAAACTTCTCAAGACATATTATTTCAAACTACAAAGATCAAATATGATTAACTTTTTTTATGAAAGATTGCTAACATCACAGTCAAGGAATATGTTCACAACAAAGTCAAGTTACTATTTCTGCATCATAGACGTTCAAAGACATGACTTAAAGCATAAACCTTCCTAAAAACAAATGCGGGGGTATTTCGTTTAAGGTGTACGTGGCGTTGTTAACCAGAGGTTGCCAAGTACTGCTAGGCAGTTTTTAAGGGGTTCTGGTTTTCAGCCGGATACCCTTAAACTAGGTAGAATTCTTTTTTTTTTTTTTTTTTTTTTTTTGAACACTAAACTTAAAACACAACCTAAATCCCCTCCCCCACACTTAAAGCTTACATTGTCCCCAAGTAAGATGAATGCAAAGAAAAGGCAAAAAAAAAACAAAATTCAAAACGCGAGAAAAAAGAAAACAAACTCCCCTTAGGTTGCCTCCCAGCAGCGCCTTTATTTATTGCGTTGGCTCGACTCAAGGCTTTTGTTTTGCGATGCACTGAGTAACATTTACATTCCTAGGAACACGTTCTTGAGGTAACTAGGGAGAGGCTTAAATCTGGAACGGGGGCCTGCAAAACAGAAGGTAAAGGCCTCTCGTTAGAAAATGGTAATGCAATTCAAGGAACGTTACCGACTGCTGCTGTAACTTGGAGAATCATCCCTGCTGCAACCGTTTCCTGCAAATCAATACTAAAAGTAACTCCTATTCTCTCCTCAAGATGCTACTAATGGCAACTCCAATCCCATCTTCCATTGAGTTCAAAAACTTCCTGTGCTAAAGAATCAACCACATCAATAGAAAAACATGATCATCATCATCATCAGGATATTTCATGGCATAAAATGTCAAATTAACAATTTCACCATCAAATCCAGGTAAGTATGCCACATAGGAACATTATCTTTAGTCTTGGATGTTTTTAAGAATGGTCTTCCTAACAAAATAGGGCAGTTGATCACCATTTTCCATATCAAGCACATAAAACAGGGGGGAAAACTAAGTATTAACTTGTACCAGAATATCCTCAAATACACCCTTAGGATGGCATTAGACCATCAGCTAATTGAATTACAACACCAGTTTTATCAAAGGTCTAAGTTTAAAGAAGCATATATGGAATATGGCATGCCATTGATAGAAGCTCCTAAATCTAAACAGGCCTTCTCAAAACATACTGTTACCTATCATACAAGGGATAGTAAACGTACCTGGATCCTGACTTCGCTGGAAGTTTTCTCTGAATCACTGCAGAAACATTTTCTCCCCTCTAACCTTTCACACCCTTAAGTTGTTTTCCTCTTAAGGTAACACATTCCTTCAAGAATTTAGCATAACGAGTACTTGTAATAGCTATAAAAGTGGAAATTACTCGCATCTACGAAAAGTCTCGTACATATCTGTTTTCTCATCTTTTCTAGATTCTGCCAAAGCTTGAGGAAAAGGTGGTACCAGTTTATAGTCGGATATAGGCAGAACAATTACGCTTAGGAACACCATCGTCGTTGGGAACGCTGTATCTACAAATAATCTTTCTCATTCTCTTCCCTCGACGATGCAGGGGCTGCCTTGTTGGGATCTCAACTCTTTACCACTTCAAAACGATCGCACTTACAATTTCTCTTGGAGTTACCACCGTTTGAGAAGGTAATTTCCCCGAACTTTGCGCCTCCAACCTATTGATTGTTGTTGCCATCTGCCCTATTTGATTCTACAAACTTTGAACACTGGTTCATCTTGTGAAATTGCAAAGTAAGTTGCAAGAGACTTAAAATATCTTCTAAAGAAATACCAGAATTAGAAGTTGGCTCGTTGGCTCTAGGGGGGTATGGCTGTGGTACTGTGGTAATTTGAGCGGTTTGATGTGGGCTGACTCATTGTTGATTCCATAGCCAGATTAGGGTGATCCCTCCATCCAGGGTTATATGTGCTCGAATAAGGATCATATTCCTTTGAGGTTGTCTAGGGAAACCACCGCTGCATTTACTTGCTCAATGGGCTCTCTTGAAGAGTTGGGCACATATCAGTGGTGCCCTACTACCGAACAAATTCCACAAGCCTTCACTGTTGTCTTACCTACAGCCATTTGACGAACAGAGAAGTTAGACTCGAGATTTGTTGTTTAGGGAAGAATATTACTCATTATCACGCCTAGATGGAAGGTCAAGCCTACTGCCAAACTGTTGAGAATTGGCCGCCATATTTGCAATCAAGTCTCGTGGCTTAGGGGTTTATCCACCAAAGCTCACCACTGCAGCATCAATCAATCCTATCATGTATATGAGGCCTTATGAAGTACTGGATCAGTAACTGCTCACTAATCTGATGATAGGGGCAGCTTGCACACAATTCTTAAAAACGTTCCAGTATTCATGTAGGGATTCTCCGTTTGCTGCCTTACACCACAAATTTCTTTCGGATGTGTGGCGTGCCTCGAAGCTGGGAAATATTTCTCCAAAAATAATCTCTTCATACTCGTTCCATTATGGTATAGTTCCAGAGGGTAGATAATAAAGCCAATCCTTAGCCGAA